TGGTCGTAACACGAAAAATTCGTAAGCAGAGGCGTTCGTAACTCGAGGTACCACTGTACTTATATATTATAATTAAGCTGACATCCTGGTATAAAGGCAGCTTCTGACATGTAGTATCCCATTTGCTACAGGCCATTTCATTAAAAATTGTCATTCATAACATAACATGAGTTAGCATAGGAGCACATACATATATGTCAATATGAAATGTGCTATATAATCAATAAATGGTAAAGACTTGGGTTGGGAGATTGTTTAAACAACTCTTCTCGTCTTTAGGAAAGCCTTTAAGACCTTTAACCTTTAAGCATTAGGGGCTAGTTGAGTGAGACTCCTCCCTGTGGTTGCTTTGTTGTGTGCTTGGTCACCATTTTACATTTTTCTTTTGTGTTTATATATTGTCTGTTTATTGTAAATGTTTTTCTTTTTATTTATTTATTATGTGTTTATGTTGTACACTGCCCAGAGTCATACTGTCTGAGTTGGGCAGCCTTATAAATCTTGAAATAAATAAAAATAAATAAACTGCATTTTGCTCAGTTCTCAGTGAAAATTTTCAGAGAAATTCCAAGTTTCCTCCCATGATTGAAGAGAGTGTATTTAACCAATCTTACATTTAAATGGAACTACTTTAATATTTTAGATTTTTAAATTTTATGTTCTTCTCTTGATGCTGAATGTATCTTTAAGTTTTATTGTTCATAAAGAATTATACCTTGCAATTCTTATGTGTCTTTTAGGAAAAGCATACTTAATACAGTAATAACGTTTTAAATGCATTTTCACATTATGACTACAGTAGTTTGCCCAGACTCACAGTAAGTGGCGAGCGTACCTGCATTGTTAACAGCTGCTGGCTGCTTCCATAATTAAGTGCAGTGAATGAGCAGTCTGTGATTCATTTAGCTCACTTTGGCATGTTATGTGAATGCAGAGTTTTTGTCCCTCTGAAACAAAACAAAAAATGAAACCATCTGTCTTTTACTTTGCTTAAGGATATCGAGTTATATAGATATGCCCCCCTCCAAATATAGATAGTGTATACCTAAAGACACAGAAGCAAAGCCATTTTCAGAGTTACCCCAGTGAGCCTTCAAAAGCTCTGTGGTCAGTTTTAGAAAGTGAGTGACCGATGGGCTAGAAAGTTTGTGTTTTTAAACACATCAGCATAGCTCTGTACCACATGTGTCCACTGTACACCCTATAGCATGCAAGATGGATGGCTAAAAAAAAAATGTGTCTGTATGCTGAGAAGAGCTCCCCTGCCATTCATGTATTCTTGGAGTTCAGAAAATGCTTTATTGCTCACTTCATTGGATTAAATGCAGGTAAGCATTATATCCACTAAATTTGATGTAGAGAGGGCCCAGTCATTGGCAGTTTTTGATTTGATGGCTTCTCCCACAGTTTTAAATGACATCTGCTGAATGAAAAACAGAGTCAACCCCCTCCCTTCCTTTTCTTTTTCTTTTCTTTTTTTAACTTGAAGGACTGTCATCAATTTTGTTGAGTTGGAGAATAAAACCTTGGCTGTATGTGGAAAAAGACTTTGTTCTAGTTAGTGACATTTCACCTGCTGCCAGAAGAGGTAAATGCTAGAACTTTGGGTGCTAGCACTCTGCACAGTGTAGAGATCTGATTTCTGAATTAAGAATGCTTTCCCCATCTCAACAGCAGAAAATTACAGTTTTAGCCAGTCCTTACTTGTTCTTGCATTTGCCTAGAGGTCTTCCAGAACCCTGTAATCTCAAGAAGGTGTGACTCAATTAGAATATAGGACTGATAAGGATACAGAGCCTAAAGAATTGTCCTAAGAAATACTCAATTTTCTAGCATATCTTGTTTCTGACAATTTTTAAGCTTCAGCATGCATATATTTATGAATATATTTATGGAAAGCCCTGTGTAGAACACTAGCCTGAGCATTGCTTCAAATAATATGGGTGGTATATTTCTGGCAGATCTGTTCTTTTTAATAATCTTATCAACATTCAATTTCACCTATTTTCTGCTAGATTCAGTGTTGTAACAAGCCTCAAAGAGTGGTAATAACCAAAAAAAGAAAGAGACTATATTATTTTAGTGTAATAATATTCCAGAAACTCTGCTAAGGAAGAATAAGATGGTGAGTTTTGTAGGTTTAATTTTAGTTGTTTCCTTTTTCTGTGCTATATATTTGTTTTGTTTTCATTCTTTTAACTGTTTGATAATCCATTAAAAGAACTCTCATTATTCAACAGATTAAAAGTATAAGAACTAAATGAAAAATTTGTGTACTTAACAATTTCCTCCAGTACACTCAGTGACTTGTTGGTTTTCCATCCAATGAAAACCATAGACTGGATTCACACATAACAGTTAACTATAAAATGGTTGAAGCTCTATTACTATCCTACACGTCTGTTAATCCTTATGTGAGTAACTGGAAACATTCTTGCCTTGGCAACCAAATGTAAGACACATGTTACTTCAGATTGCCAGAAACCAGTGACTATGGTGTGCAGTAAGTTAGTTAAGGGTTAGTTTTTTGGAAACCAAACCTCTGCAACTATTTGTGTGAAGACCCAGTGGCTGGTACAGTAGTGCGATCTCTGTGTGTAACTTACTGAGGTCATTTAATATAGATTAATATAATATGTAATTAAGCATAGGATATGAGTAGACTCATAGCATGTCTGGTGCAGATTTGCTCCTGTTCACTAAAAGATGCATGGGATGTGTATTGATGTGGGTGTTGTTTATACAGATGGTGTTAACTTCTGCATGGGGTGGTCCAGTTCATGGTTCATTGTAAGAAGAATGATATTAACTCCCAAGGTGACAAGACGGTAGCATATTAAAATAAAGGAACTCTTTTTGTTCTTAGTTTCTACTTCATAGTCTTTCTGGTTTGAATAGCAATTTGTATTTTGGGGACTTTTATAAGAAATGTTTTTTTAAATGCAATGTTATAATTACTTCCCTTTCTTTATTTCAGGTTGCATGCCTTGGACTTGATGCTTGATTTGCATGACTCCTAACAATCAGGTGCTGGATTTGCCAGTGAGCAAACATGGCCCACTCAGTGAATATTAATGGCAGTTTTACAGGTAAAGTTTTGCCTTAGTAATGAGTAATCCTTCTTTTCTTCTAGAAGGAAAAGTGAGCCTAATACTTTCTAAACATGGATTTATCTGGGCCTGTGTGCACACCTTCAGTTTTGGAAATATTAACATAAAATCTTCATCCTGCAATTCCCACTTTAAGAATGTCTGTGCTTGGGTGGCCCTTGCATAACTGCTTCATATTAATTTGGGGTGCAAATTGCATTTTTGTTGACTGCAGTTTTCTGTTTTACCAAAAAAAAAAAAAAATGGGGATTTCAGTCCTTAGAGATATGAAACTTATATTTTTATTATGGGAACTTTTATAGCTAAAATGGGTAGATACAGTGCATTGTATATGGCACCAGTTTGGAGGAGGCTGCCCTAATAGCTATTTGTATATATGCAAAATGGAATGCCTTTTATTCTTCCATGTTCTACTCATCCTACAGTTGAAAGAATTAATGGGATAGCTTTGTTCACATAAACTGAAGAGTAATAGACGGATTAATCATGTCAAACTAAGGATTGTGCCTTTAGAATGTTCCTTAAGTTGCAAAGATGTCCTCACTAATGTGTGAGTAGATCTTACAGTAAGACCATCTGTGTTGGCCTGCCTCCAGAACCATGTCAACTGATTTCATTCCATCTGTCCATTATAATATTTGTGACACTTTTTGAATTAACTGCTAAACATACTTGCCTTCTCTTTTCTCTATTCCTTTTTAAGTTTATATAGTTTTCCTTAGAACAAAGGACTGCTGGCAGGCTCAGTAGTATGTGTTTTTACAATCCCTAAAACCTTTAGGCTCTTTTTATAAGTAACAAACAATTACATTGGCTAGGTGCGGCCAGTGAATCCTTAATGGTGGCCACCATTGGGTATCAAGCTGATAGTTAATTATGGCTATGCAAACCTTGAGGAAGCAGAACAAGAAAGTATGTGGTTTAAGTGAGAGAGGAGGAAATAATTAGCATACTGTATAGAGCAGTGTTTTTCAAACTTGGCAACTTTAAGATATGTGGACTTCAACTCGCAGAATTCCCCAGCCAGCATGTCAGTTCTTCATTTAAAGAGGACTGGTCATTTTCTTATAGAAAACCAGAAAGTCTAAAACAACCATTGGCACAAATGGCTGGTCTCACGTGTTCTTTACAATAGTGAAATAATCAGCTGTTGGGCTATTGTATACCGGTTCATTTCATTCATTCATTTTATGCATACTCTTTTTATAAGTAACAAACAATTACATTGGCTAGGTGCGGCCAGTGAATC